CACTCTTTTACTTAAGAGTTAAAGCATTAGCTACAATCGGACAGATTGCCGCTCGTCAAATCTACCCAAAATTATCATGTGTAGGTGAGTTTACACCCCAAGGAGAACTCAAAATAATCCACGCTTTACATCCGATTGATTAGAATCCAATAATGAGTTTTTCACAAATCTTTTGTTGGTCAAATTTTAGAAAAGTTTACAATACTTAGTCCATTTGAAACAATAAGAGTTCTTAGAAATTATTTATTACAATACCAAAGTTCAAAGTGCGATAATTAAATAGCGGAATTAAAATAAATGTCTAATGGAAATGATACAAAGATCTATCTGTGCCCACCAAAAGAATCCTCCACACAAGAGCTACTCCTCAAGCTACACTAGAAACAGGAGTAAATAAACCCTGAGTACACAATATACTCACAAGACTTACCCAACTAGTAGAAATAGTTTCCCGACTCCAAGGGCAAGATAGGCAATATGGGTTTGTTGTTTTCTTTTTGTTTGCGGAAATCATTACTAATAGTTCATCCTTACAGTCAAGTTTTATTAATAGTCATGATTACTTCATTAGCTAACCATTCTAGGTAAGCACCTATTCTACTTTCAAGCAAGGGATGAGCAGTCAAAACCATTTCACCATCTTTCATCTTCTAGTTCTTACTACGGTGCTAAACCATAGCCAAGTCGTATCATCTCACGGAAACAATGATTCGTGAACCAATGTATCCCAACTGGGTACCCCAAAACACATGCCCCGTTTGTACCCCAGGCATAAACAAGACCAATCCATTCCACTCATGTCACGGGGTCCAAGTTCCTGTCCAAACTTGGACTCTAAGCCCCCACACTTGAGACCCGGTCTCAATATGGTGCTTAGACCTCCACCTTTTTCCGCCTCCAATCAGTCAGTCTGGGAAGAGCCAGAACCCATGATAAGAGTGTAACAAGCCTTCCCGCTCCCATAAGCAAGTATGTGCTTAGGATAATAAGTCTGTGACCTGACTACCATCCACAGCAACGAATGGTCCTCAATCGACACGGACGGGGAAAACAATCTAACCAAGCTAAGCCCCATGGCCATGGGACATAACTTGTTACACCCACTAATAACCATACCATATCCCTGTCCAGTCACCATTTTTCCTTCCATCATTTTATTATGAGAGTAATAGTAGTAGTCACCTACTTGTGAGTAATGACAGGTTACCCACGCTACCGCTAAATCTAAGCATAGCAGCTACTCGATCCTGCACTAGTAAGACTCATAGGATAGGTATATATATGCATGTGGTTTCCATAAAATTCCTTTAACATAAATGCACATCACATATATATACGGTGATTATCAAAAATAAGGGTTATGCACCGGGGCTTGCCTTGGGCAGGCACGGTGTTAGCTGAGTCAGTCAGTGGCGGCTCTGGGACCTCCTCCTACACGAGAATCTCCTCCTCATACTCCTCGACGATCTACTCGAACTAGTGCTTGTCGGTGGTCACAATCTCTGCCAACTCATTCTCTATATGCATGCGATGATGATGACACAACAATTTAGTATTTAGGCAACAACAACTCTTAAAATAAGGATACACATGTTAAGCTACTAAGCTAGCTCTAATGACTAAGATACCAAGCTAACTATCATCTTCATCAAGCAAAGTATTGAGTTCAACTAACAAGCACCTAGTTTCGCAAATCAATGGTATGCCTTTAATTCTATTAAAGATTTAATGTAGATTTAAACAAGGAACATTTAACTACCCTAATGTTTAATCTAGTCTAAGGCTACAAAAATTACAGTGAGCACATAATAATACAATGAAGCTACTGTAAAAATTTTAGGATCAAGCTATCACCAATTTATCAGAAAAATTCCTACAATAATTAACCTAACAATATTAATCACTTTTAAATGATTTAATAGCTCTCTGCATCAACATAGATATGTATGAACCAACTACACTAACAAATAGACAATAATTTGTGGAATCTAACAAAATTAGTTTCACGATTTTTGGACACCTATACGATTTTATATTAATTAAACAAAATTGGCTCACAATTAAAAATAAAAAGCTATTTCTAATTCTTTACGAAAAAGAGGAAGCGAACTGGACCAGCGTGGCCTGACATGGGCGCGGCCCATGTGTGGAAGCGGCCCACGATGGGGGAGCCCACACACGCGCTGGCGTTTTTAGAAAAGAGACCTCATACTTGCTCCAAACAACGTCACTGTCTTTTCACTATTTCTTTCTCTCTCTGACCTTTGCGCTTAACCCCCTGGTTTTTTCTTAATGCTTCCACGCACGCCCCTGAGGTAGGGCGAGCGGCGGTGTGGTGAGCACTGGCAATGGCCAGCCATGCCAGCCACCTAGGGTTCGTGCGGACCTACCTAAAGGGTCGACTACCATCTCCGACCTAAGCGCCTACACTAAGCGGCTGTGAGGGGCAGCGGGATGCACTAGAGCGGGTGGCAGTGGTGCACGGCCGTCCACGGTGGTGGTGCAGTCGTTCCGGTGCACTAGGGTAGCTACAGGCCTAACCAACTAGCGAGTGAGCATCAGGAGCTTACCGTGGACCTGGTCGAGGTGATGGTTCAACCGGAGACTACCTGAGCTAGGCTAGCCACGTGCGCGCGGCGAGCTCAACGATGAGCCACGGCGATACGGCCGTGTCAGCGGCGCTAGGGCAGCGGTAGAGGTACAATTGATGAGCGCAGGATGAAGAGGGAGTCAAGGTGAGGCTAGTGGTGCAGCTGGTTGAGCAAGAACGACTACTTGGAAGGGTTGTCACCATGCTAGTCGAATTTTGCCTTAACGGCTCGGTGTCGGGGAAACTCCAAAATTGGAGCTCGGTCGGGCACGATTTAAGGCGGGGTGGGGTCGATTAGCAAGATGACTTAATGGCAGAGCCAGGGATGTGATGAATCGGGCGATGGTGACTCAACCATGCCGAATTTGATGGCGTGGCTCGGCGGCCATGGCAATAGAGAAGAGAGGGGGGCAGGTCTGGCTCGCCTCGTCCTCGCCTTGGCGGGACGCGGCTGGCTGCTAGTGGAATGGCACATGTGCGCGTGCTACAAGCTAATGTGGTCAGAGGGAACGTGCGTGTGTCCCCAGCCGAGACCAAACCAAGTGCGGCATAACGCCATAATGGCGAGAAGACGGCGCAGGGCAGCAAGGGCTAGCCCACGTCTGTAGCGAGATGTAGTGGTAGTAGCCACAGCGTGGTAGTGCGAAGCAGGGAGGGCAGCAGCGTGCAGGGTAGCAGCGGCAGCGGCGTGAGTAGGGCAACGACGGCGTATAGGGCACCCTGCCCCGCGGCTGGCCTATAGCGGGTGCTGCGGTCGGAGCGGCCAAGCCACAACCAAGCCACGGCCAGGCCATGTCGGCCTCGGGCGGCCTGTGTAGGCCAGCGTGGGCGTGCAGGGCACGGCTGCATGGTGACGTAGAGCAGCCGTGCGTGGTGACAGCGCGCGCAGGCCAGTCAGCCAATGACTGTGTGTATGCACAAATTTTAAAGCGTCCGTAAAAACTAAACTATCAGAGTTAAAGCTAAACCACCTTCACTATGCTAAAGAAGGCATGTCAGGCTACCCATCAGAATTAATTCGTAAACTTGGTGTTGTCAAACTTGTATTTAGACTTAGTAACATCTCAAGTTTGGTTTATTTTAAATTCCAAGTTCCATTTCCAAGCCATTGGAAATACTATCTTGCAATATTATTTTTCTACAGCAAGAGATGCATTGACATCTACAAAGTTCGTGCTTCAAACTTTATTAAGGTGTTACATACATGTTCTATAATGTTTTTGCTCAATAAAAATTGATCTTTAACCCTACTTGATACAACATGAGCTTTGAATCAATTTTCATTTAACCTTTTTATTGGTCATTTTAGGCTAAAAAAATTTATCTATACACTCTATCATATGCATTATCACATAAACATGATACTCATGACATGATTTGGTAGTTTGTTTAGGGCATAACACCGATGGTGTTATACCAAGGTCCGTATCGCCGCTGAGCTCCACACCGACAGCCTCCGCGTCACTCCGTTGCATCGAGCTCCACGCTGGCATCGAGCTTTGCGTCGACGAACCTCCATTTTTGTCCTTGCAGCAAGTAGATGTTGCGCTTGAAAACGTATGTTGCAAGCGTCTGTTTTAATTGTTTCATATGTTTCAGAGGCAAGTGTTCTATATGGATATTGTAAAAGTAGATCGAGATGTTGCATATGTTGCAATGGTTGTACCGTATGTTGCAAACTTTTGCTACCAATGTTTTATCTGTTTTTCGGACGTATGTTGCAAGTGTGTTTATTTGGATGTTGCATATATTTCTCATATATGTTTGCATGTGTTTTATGTGGATGTTGCGTATGTTTTTAAAATGGTTTCAAGTGTTTTCCAGGTGTTTTTGCAAGTGTTTCAGATGCATGTTTGAAATGTTTTATCCGTCTCTAGACGTATATTGCAAGTGTTGTATCTTAATGTTTCAAAAATAGATCGGATGTTGTAACTCCCTCCTCGCTTTCTGCTATTTCGTCTCGGTGTCTCCTCTTCCTCTCGGTGTTAGGTTGGGCATCCGTCGCCTCCTCCTCTCTTCTTGATGCCGGTGACGCTGACGCTCAGGACGGCGCAGCCCCCACGTGCGTAAATGACCGCAGGAGCGGCTATACGGACGCCCCGTCCATCGACATCCGGGCACCAGCGAGCCAAACGGTAAATATACTTTTTTTTTTCATTTCTTGATGACACGTGGACCAAGTTCGGGCTACGATCCAAACAGATTTTTACCGAGAAACCCCTATGAGAAATGGGCCATTAAACCCAAAGCAACGCCACTCTACTGGGCCCTGGCCCGCCCGTCTAGTAAGCGGCCGCCGCCCTTGCGTCAGAAATTCTAGCCAACGCGAGTACGCGACGCGGCGGTCGGCGGCGACCGACAAGGAGAGAGAGAGAGAGAGAGAGAGAGAGAGAGAGGCGGGGGTGTGCACATGGAGGAGCTCTCCAAGAAGGCTCCGGCACCAAGCTTGCTTTCGCTGTGCCTGGACGCGGTCGCTGCTCGTCTCATCAGCGACAACGCCGGCGCAGGCGGAGGCGTGGGCCGAACTGGTTGTGCAGGAGGGTGCAGCGGCGGCGGCGATCTCGGCGGGTTCTCGGAAGATGACGGAGGGGAGGCAGACGAGGACCGCCTGCAACCGGAGGAGGTGGCGGAGGGGCTTCCCTGGGAGCTTCTCCATCGGCTGGCGTCCCGGCTCTCGCCTGTCGCACTCGAGTCACTCCATCACGCCGCCCATGCCCGGTACCCTTCCCCTCTCCCTTTCTCTACCAATTCGTAAACATCAACAGAACGCCCATTCCTGTGCCCGTTTACCTTCTATTGCTATTCAAATTTCCACATCATCTGTTGTTTCCTCTGAGAAAATCGTGCATCTTCATAAAGGAAGAGCTAGATGTTATGCTCGTAATTTCTCGTTCCAGGTGCTGCTCTTCTGCTAAAACTACTTCTGGACTTGGAGTGCAAGATGGAGACAGACGTGGGGTGAAACGTTCAAGGTTTTGCAAGCATTTATTTATGCAAAGAAAAACATGTTTTTGGCGTACTGTGTTAACAGTACTGCGGTGCAATGGGCTGAAGACAATAATCGGCAGCACCAGCATTTGTTTCAATACCTGACCTGACATATATGATACTGCTCTCAGGTGTGAAGATTTCAACACCACTTGGCAATTATTGTTCAAACTTCGCTGGCCCCTTGGTGGTAACGCTGGACATAATAGCTTGGTCACTGTGGACTGGCAGCAAAAGTATTGGGAAAAGCATTTACAGGAGTACGCAATCAGTGGTTTGTGATTGAGTTTTATGAATGAAATGCTTTAACCCCTTAAACACAAATTAGCAATCCTTTTTTTCCCTCCACAGGTGCTTGGATGAAGCTGCAGAGTGTGCCTTTCTTCCATCTTTTTGTGGGGGGTATTGATGAGCTGAGTATATCAGGTTAGTATCCTGTATTCCTTCATGACATGTCTACCATATTGTCATTCATTTGTTACCAACTTCATTGCTTGGTTAACTGAGTAATTGCCCTCTTAGTTTTAGAAAGTAAACTGAATTATTTTAAAAATATCTTTAGCTAATACCCATTTACTGTTGAAATGAATACTGTTTTTAGTTTCGTTTAGTATTGGTAGAACTGACATTAGTTACTAGATATTATCTTTACCTAAAAAAATGTGATAGCCCATTTACTGCTGCAATGACCTTTCTGTCTTTGTTCATGATTGAGCAGCTAAAATCGCAAATTCCATCTACCAGAGCAAGGACACATCTCTAACAGCATTCAAGATTAGCATATCAATGCAGCAAATTTGGTTGCTACGTGAGGTGCTAGCATACGACGATTATTTTACAAATGCATTTCTTTTTTGACTCAACACTTTTTATCTTTTCATACAACACTTGCAATTATGAATCTTCAATTAATTAAAAAGACACGTGACATGATTGAGGACTCTCTGATATATGATAATTTGGTTATGCAATTTTGTATGTCCTACAGTGTTGATGTAACAATGAATTTATGTTGGAGTTGCTTTGTTGGTTGTATTGTTATCTGTGATGCTCGGATACATTGATATGGATACTAGCACGCATGTGATGAGCCTTGCTAGGGGTGGTGGTGGTGGAGGTGTAAGGACAGGGGGAGGGAGAGGTGGCGGCGGCTAGGACAGGGGAGGGGGTCGGCACAGGGAGAGGGAGAGGGAGGCGCAGGGAGAGAGGGAGAGGGATATAGGGGAGATTAATTGCTCTATTCTTGCTTAAGATCCAAACGGTTACATGACCCCTATATTTATAGTCCCTAGAGGACTTGACTCCCAAGCAAACTAGAGGTAGAGTCCTTATAGATTTGGACTCTCCTTTCCTAAACAAACCAATCCTTATTTCCTAAGCAAACTCTATTTCTTTTTATTCTCAACCTTATCTAAATCTATCTCTAATTTCCATTTATTCCGGACTCCTCCGGGTGGGAGGGGTCCGGTGGCACCGCGGAGGTCGCCTCCCCCTGGTCGCGCGCGCCCCAGGCGGCGCTGTGGGCCAGGGCATGACTAGCCAGGGCCCTCCTCTAGGTCTCGCTTGGCCCGGCTCGGGGGCCCATATTTAGGTCCGTGACATCGTGATACAGCGATACTCTGGTATGCCATTTCTCCAAAAAGACGGATACGGGGATACACTAATACATATGAAAAGGGACAAATATACATATAAAATTTAAAGGCGCCAAAGTTTACACAGACCAAGAAATTACAGTTGGCATCTTTCATGAAATATAATCCTTAAAGTCTTGGATATTCGTTCATGCCTTGTATGGATACCTATGTATTCACGTCAATCCATGTGTGTTGGAGTAGTTTGGTGGGCATCCAAACAAGCCCTCAGTTTTGACACTGGACCATGTTCTGTTACAACCAGGAAATTTCAAGAGAGGACGCCTTTGAGCATCAAACCATCCATCTCCTACAATACTCACACCTTTAGAGCTCCAAGTTGCCTTGATGCGCTGCAGCATTCTCTCAACATGTGTGTTCTCTTGCACAAGGAGAGTTGTCATCAGCTTGCTGCAGCTTGGAGGGACATCCTCCAGTTGGACGATTTGTAGCAAACATTCTAGGTATTAGTTCACCAAGCTGGCTAGGATTTCTACATTGAAGCTAGATTCAATAGCTGAAACACTACCTCTTCCTCAACTTCTCATTGGCCTCTGTTGGAAGTGGAGTATCTCTAGGAACAGTCCTACCAGCAACAACATTGGGATGGAAAATTTTGAATTAGCGCACGAGGAGACTGAGAAGGAGAAGGTAAGGACCAAAGTGAGAAAAGGAGATGACTCACCGTAAATGGGGAAGGAGGCAAGGAGCAGCCATCGCTGGTAGCGTGGAGACAGAAGTGGCGACATGGTCCATAGGGAAGAGGCACAGGCAGGAAATTGGAGGTAGCTGGGTAGAGGCAGAGGTGGTGGCTGTGGACACAGCTACACAGATCTATGGTGAGCGTCAAGGTAGCATGACTGTGCGTACGAGGTGGCTGCATCTGTGCTGGCGGCTGCAGAGGCAGCTGCATCTGTGGTGCAGATGGGAATCAGAGGGCGACAGAGCTGCACGTAGGGTTTTGTACGAAGGGAACAAGTGGTAATAAGGTTGATGGAATCCCCAAAGTATCGGTGGGGTGTCCTAGGAGTATTGGGTCTTTTTGTACGATTTCAAAATTGATTTAATTTCCGATACGTCTAGGATACGTATCTGGCCATATCCGTGGAGTATCAGTATCGGATACGGTATTGATATCTGTACGTGAGTTTTGCAAAGTATCCGCACTTCATAGTTTGTTATTTGCTTGTAGTTCTTCAGATGAATGTTGCCCCTTATTTTTCAGGTGCTTGAGACTGCAAGGTGTTCTTTGCACTGCAGAAACTTATGTAAGTGCTAAACTACTGATGCACTGTATAGTAGCTTAGAGCTCTTTGCATTTATACTCTATTTTAGTTTATATAGCTGATGTTGTGAGTTTGTTGTGTTAGTTGTGCTCTGGTCTATGCATCCATGTTCTCAGTTTGCCAAATGGAAGTATCTATATCATCTGTGCAACTATCTTTACACATGGTTCCAGAATACGTTTATTATCCATGCATTACATATCTATTGCAGTACAATGAATCCTTTTTATGATGTTCATATGATTGTACGTTGACTGCTGGGTATGCTTTGTCTCTCAGGACTTGTTGCAACAATGCAAGCTGGAAAGGTTAATGTTCATAAGAATTATATCAGAGCCAGAGGTAATCTTAAGCCTGTGATAGTACCTTTAATTTTGCATACCATAGCTTCTGAACAATATGATGATCATATTCTGGAATTAGCTGAAAGCATAGAGATGCTCACCATTTCAGTTTTGCATGTGCACAATAGTTCTCATAAACTCTATGAACAACTAATAATTTTCCAGGTGTATTTTTGCATGTGCTGTCTAAGTTTGAAAACTAAAACAAGCTCATATTGTTAGTCATTAACTTGTGTCGGTAAAAGTATACAACCATTCTGAATGATCTTCAGTTGTCCATGTGTTGTACTGCTGTTTTTAGTGGCTTGATAGTCAACAATGGTTCATTGGGGTTTTAAGTTTCTTCTGAATTTTCATTGACAGGTTAATGGTGCATGTTTGCTTCTGAGCTGGCATGCAGAGACATTGCTTTCTCTTGAATTCACCCACTGTCAGCTTTATCCTACTGTCATGGATAAGATTTGCAGGAGTGTGTGCCAGAAGGGATCTCAAAGTCATGGAATCCAACGATTTAGTATTAAATCGTCACAAATCTGTGAAACCAAGCCTCTGACCATCTCTTCTGGTCTGTTAAACTTTTTGTCATCTGGCAAGTAAGCTGCATGCCATTTGATATTCATAATTGAAATATTATCGTTTGACAAACAACTGAACCGTATTTTTAGTTTATTTATTCTACAGCAGCTTCCCATTAGTATTAATCCTGGGGCATTGACCATTTATGTGTTTCTGAGTTTTCCTTAGAGTGAAATGCACCGTGGGTCATTAAACTTTTCTTGCATTCTCATCTGGATCCATGGACTCTCAAAGTGATCATCTGAGTCATTCAACTTTTCAAGTGGTTTATTATAAGTTCACTCTAGGTCCAATCGTGGACCTGAATTCACACTTTGAATGAACTACATGAAAAGTTGAAATACCCAGATTATCACTTTAAGAGTTCGTGGACCCATATGAGAATGTGGAAAAAGTTTAGTGACCCCATGGTGAATTTCACTCTTTTACTTATCTGCATTTGGTATATCAATACTTGATAGTCAATTGCAATGTGAGACATTTAACACCGTTCAAACCTTACAATTGTTCAGGTCGTTGCACCTGCTGTCACTTAATGATACTAAGATGCAGTCATCATTTGCTCAGATGATTATTCACACTCTCCTTGAGTCATCATGTGGTTTACACACTCTTGAGATATTAGAAAACAATGTGGGTTGACATGAAAAAAAATTGTTCTTTATATCCTTTTACATGAAGGGCGGGCCTGGTGCAAGCGGTAGAGTCTTACTGCCTGTGACCGGAAGGTCCCGGGTTCGAGTCGCGGTCTCCTCGCATTGCACAATCGAGGGTAAGGCTTGCCACCGACACCCTTCCCCAGACCCCGCACAGAGCGGGAGCTCTCTGCACTGGGTACGTCCTTTATATCCTTTTACATATTTTCTACCTGTTAAATTGGTTGTTTCTTCTAGATCGCAGGCTGGCTTTCAAATGTGAACAAAAGTTCTACAAACTCATTAGCGCTGAAATCAGATATTTTTATGAACTCCCTGTCCGCTCTTAACCTGAGGTATTAATTTGTATGTACACCTAGCTTTTCAAGAAACTTCTGTAGCAGGTTATTTTCAGAATTTCTGATGGCCTAATTGTGTGCTTCACATTTCTTGTTTCTCATAATTCCAGGGAAAATAATTTGCAAAAGGATGATGTTGTAGATCTTCACAAAATTCTAATAAAAATTCCTAACTTAAGAGATTTAGATATAAGTGGCAATCCAATCATGGATGAAGGTATCAGGTACTGGCTAACATAACAGAATATCCATCTGTATTCTGTAATGATCAATACAGGGCGAGAATTGTTTTTTCATGTCTTTGTTCAGTTGCCTCTAGCTCGATTGCACAAGCACAGTACTTCTAAATATTTGTGATAAACTATTGCCTCAGTCAAGCTGTGTATTGTTGATTTACTGAAGCACTCATCAGTTGCAGTTAACTTGCAGATCATTGATCCCTTTCATTTTGTGGTCTATTCAGAAGGAAGATCCACTTTTGAGATTAACAGTCGAGAACTGTGAGTTGTCTAGTATTGGTGTGATTTTACTTCTGGAGTGCCTAACAACTGTCAAGCAACCCCTTGATGCGCTATCTATAGCTGACAATCATTTAGGGAGGCGAGTTGTATCTCTTTTCATGCATTTTGTCCTGTTTTATTAACTTGTGTCAACATATTAATTGAAATGCGCTTGCTTGCATTTGCAGTTCCATGGCAGCTGCATTGGCCAAATTCTTGGTTCACATGCAAGGGCGTTAAATGCTGCAGATATTGGCTTAGGAACATTAGGTTTCCAAATACTTGAGGAAGCATTACCAATGGAGGTAGCTCTTTCCCACATCAACATCAGGTAGAACCAAGCACTGCTACTCACCATAGATATCAGTTTCCTCAATAGCTTTATTTATATTTTGCAGTAAGAATCGCGGCGGGATCAGAGCAGCATATTTTATTTCCAGATTAATATGGCGAGCGCCAAACCTTGTCTCAGTCAATGCAGCAGCGAACCTTTTACCAGTTGAGGGCCTGTTCGGCTGGTATTAAAGCCGGCTGATAAGCCGGTTGAAGCTGTTTTGTTGTGAAAGAAAAATACTGTAGAATCATTGGAAGTCATCTATAACTCCTTGAAGCAAAGGACTTGTAAGAAATAAATGCTATACCGAATTCACCTTTACTTAACTGCATTAGGCAAATCCATATATATAGGGATGAAGACGGATAGGATAAAAATGGACATGTACGGATACAAATATGGGTTGTTGTTTTTTCTCAGATTCGGAGTTGGATAAGGACTCGAATTCAGAGTTGGATACAAGATAGTGTTGGGTGCGTCATATATTGATACCCATTCCATATATGTGTTGATATCCAACATTATGTATTCGAATTCGAACATGGTACGGGGTTGGAAGGTTCGGATTTAATGATTTAAATATGGGTTATCCATTTAGTATTTGAACCCCTTTCGGACGGACGCCGTCCTGTTTTATTTTTTTATTTTTTGAGGGGAGCATTCTGTCCCGTTTTCAATCCTACATACAGGCACCAGATGATAGAGATTGGCTGATAACTTCGGGTCTTTCCTTGTTTCAGGTAATGTGGAGCGAGTGGACCTGACTGGCAACATGTATTTGTCAAGCAATATTTTTCCTGCTTTCCTAGAATTCAAGAAGCATGGAAAGCCAATTTTGGTAGTCCCATCAAACTTGAGCACTTGTGCTCCATACGATGATGACCCGTGACTATTATGTACCAGACACTCCGTAGTGCTGCTCATATCACTTCAGATGTTAGTGATGTATTTGTTGTGTCGTCTGGGCATACTGTAGTCAGTGGGTCATGCTTTGTTGGAATGAATTGTCAGTCTGCTGGTTGGGTCCGTTTGGTCTGGCGGTGGTGTTGCTCCAAGTTTAACAGAAAGTGACCACTTTTTTAAAAGGTAAAGGATTTCATTCGTTATAACCGAGTTAGAGATTGGGCAGATAATAATCCGCTAACTGAAGTTTTCTGGCTCATTTTTGAGATTACAATGCGGGAGATGTCCTACCGACTCACAAGAGTACAAGCAAGAATTAGGGATTTGAGCCTGTCTAGCTAACTTTGCAAGCTTGTCTGCTGTCTTGTTTGTGTCTCTATTGATTTTGATGACTGAATATTACCTATACCTTTGCGTAGTGATTTCTTCGATTCAAGCAGGGGTCAATCTTAGAGACCAATGACCAGGATTGTGACGAGACGAACTAGCTTGTACTGTGGAAGCAAGGATCTGGTTGTCAGTCAGTAAATTAGCAACCTGTAAGTAGAGTGCCTGAGCCAATTTGGCACCAAGTAACATAGCCTGTTCCTCAGCCTCCAATGGGTCCATGGTTCTAGGGATTATGGGCCTGTTTGGGATTGCTCTGCTCCATTAACTCCACTATGAAACAGCTCCACCGTGGAGTTGCTCGAGTAGGTGTACCTGTTTGGCATAGCTTTGCTCTAGCTCTAGTAATTGGAGGTTTTGACGAGAATCACCATTTATGTCCTTAGGATGTTGTATGTTATATTTAGCTTTTGTAAGTGATTCTATATTTTGTTTGCAACCTTTGGTATAACATAAGTGAAAAAAGCATATATTTGCATACTTCTCCGTGATTATTTTTGCCTTCTTTTACCCATCCATACTGCTCCGTAATTATTTCTTGGCAGAGGCATTCGGTCAAACAGGTTGCAGGTTGCATGCTTCAGGAAATCTCTAAACAATCAATCAAACACCCATGCGATGCGAGCCCCGGCCAGCCTGCCACCCTTGATGAATCAGTCCGCATCTAGGGCCTCCCGGTCAGCTCCAGTGGCTGGCAAAGCAGTTAACAGCGGTGTGGACGGGCCTGTGAGGGGTGAGGTCCGCTAGCAGCGAGGTCGGTGACGTCGGAGAAGACAACCTGGGTGGCGGCGAGGTCGGCGATGACGTCCTCAGGGGAGTTTTGGCCGCGTATGCCGCTCCGTGACCAGCCACGGCGAATACGTGACGCCGGCGGAGGAGCTACCGGACGACAAAGGTGCAGGCGCCGGTGGAGCTCCAGGATCGGCAAACACGTGACGCTGGCGTAAGCAGTGAAACCGCGGGGGAGGAGAGGGGCGGGCCCCGACCGTGGCGTCCAGAGGCGGATACCGAGGAAGGGGAGGAGCTCCGACTGCCGGTTTTTGTGGCGTCGTCGCTAGGACTGGGTCGGCGGCACAGGTACGGGAAGAGACAGAAGGCAGGCAAAAGGACGGGCCTGTTTAAAAGTTGCCACGGCAAAGATTTGCTAAGAAAAAATTATCAAAACGGTCACAAATTTTTGCCATAGATTTGGTATTCTAATTGTGATATGTACGGCAAAGTTTGATAGCAAATCAAATTGCTGCCAAAATTTTGGCTTGCCTAAGTTCTGATAATAAAAATTTGGCTATCAACCAATCGGGTTCGATGCTCAGTGGTGGAAAAGGAAGAAATGTAGCGAACTGTTTTTTTCTCTATGAGCCTGTTCGCTGGTTGGTTTCTGGGCTGATAAGTTCGACTGGTGCTGATTTGTTGTGAGAGGAAAACACTATTGGCTGGCTGATAAGCCCTGACTGAAACCAACAAGTGAACAGATTGTATAACCAGTAGCGGTGGTGGCTAATTTTTTTCGAACTCCATGAGTAGGTATGAATCATTTGTTTCTGGAGTACCCTTGAGGAGCTTAAAAAACGTGAAGTTAGGGTCAAGCTCCAACTTTTTTTTATGGAGCAGAGTTCTTGGAGTTGATGTGTTTGGCGAGACAAGTTGGGAGCAGAGCTGGATTTGACGTACGTGTATCTTCCAAGCCATTTCTAACTCAAGTGGTGGAGACACTCGGGTACCACTGGTACTATGCAGGTTCAAAAACCATGACAGAAGGACTACGGGGTTACGTGAATTTTGTTGTAGGTTGCCTATTTGTAGTGCCTCCGACTTGTTCATTCTATGGTAGACCATGTGCTCTTTTTTAGGCAGGAGAGAGTGTACTAATTCATTCGTTAATATACATACGTGATGTGCTCGGCTACACAATAGAGGATTTTCGCTACATGGGCTATGTCATTTTATGAGGTGAAAGAGACTAAGAGTAGTGAGTGTGTTCCACGGTACCAAACAAACTTTGGATTGTAATAGTTTAATAATAGTGTAAGAGACTAAGTGTAATGAGATATTGGTTTGTAAGGACTTCATTATATATCTAGCTACCTATTAATTAATAAGTTAATTTGTCCTTTGTAGTTATATAATATGTATTGTACCTTGTGAGAAATGAAATGGCAATGAGAATTATCTTGTGTGCGTGAAATGAGAATTGTCGTGTGTGGTATTGGATCTGCAGTTGTACTCAATTCACTGCCGGAATCCGGCAGTGGTGTCATGAGTGCCATTGTCGAGTCTGGCCTAAACCGGCAGTGACACTATATTACTGCTAGTTGATAATCCAAATCGGCAGTGATCCGGATGATTCTATGACCAGGGAGTGTTGTTCCTGTTACCAATGCCGGGTCGATCGCCAACCCCACAGTGATAGGCCACCCCTATCTCACTGTTAACATCCGCTGGCATGGATTTCGGCAGGATGATTGCTATGACCCGACAATGATTATAAGTTAAGGAGTAGTGTCCTGTCCTAACAAAAATAAGACATCGTCCATAATAATAATAATTCAACATTACAGATATTGTCGACATGGCCCATAACAATAATATATTCAACATTACAGATATTGAAACGGACAAATCGATCACTGCATTTTATTTCATAATAATGAGGTAACACTGAACTGGAACAGAGCATTATATTATATTATTATTGGCGCGCGGCGCTAGCTGGAGAATATGCCTCCACTACCTCTAGCGGTGCAAAGGAAAAGTATGCGGGTTTCAAATTAACCACACAGGCATGCACACAGCAAGCCAGCCAGTGTGGTAATTAATTAAGCTGCAGGCGTAAGAAGAATCTTATTATTTTGAGGAACCGTCTTGGCAGCTCCGTTGAAGTCTTGCAACCACCTGGCTGATCGCTTCATGGTGCGCTCGCAGCCATTCTCACGGTCGACGTAGACGAGCCCGAAACGTTCGGTGTAGCCGCTGGACCATTCGAAGTTGTCCAGCAGAGTCCACGCGAAGTAGCCGCGCACGTCTGCTCCCAAGCTGCATGGATGCAAGCATGCATGCATTTTAATTGAACCTTGCATGTACGTGTGTGTAGATAGAGTACAATAGTAATAAAGTGAGTAAACTAAACTAGAGGTAGGTAGGTCGATCGATACATACTCTATAGATTGTTTAAGAACAGAGAGGTGGCGCTGGATGAAATCTAGCCTTGTGTGGTCATTCAAGGCATCTGGTTTGGGTAGATCGCCATTGTCAATGTCCCCCATCCCTGCAAAATCAAATTATATTAACTCCCCATGAGAAGAGAAGTTTACGTTAGCCTAGGGGTGTGTGTGTGTGTGTGTACGAGCTATGCTCATCTTTCAAAAACGAAACAGAGCCATTTTTGCAAAAACCCTTTGGGGTAATGAAAAGTTTAGTTAGTTTTCAACGTTTTGCTTCATTAAAAAGTATCAGAAACCCTTTATTTACAAAAGACCCATGACAAGAAATAAAAAGATATAATTATTGTTGGTAGTTAGCTAAAATTTAGTACAACCTATGATTGAAATTGTAACAAAATGGAAAAGTATATAAACAACTTACCGTTCTCAGTGATGTAGATGGGTGGGTTTCCGTACTTGTTCTTCATGATCATAAGGATATCGTGCAGGCCTTTAGGGTACATATTGATCCATGCATTTCCAGTCTGTAAATTGAAGTAATTAAGATTGTAACTAATTATTACCAATATGCATATATTACAAGGAAAAAAACCTACAGATTTGTTCCGCTTTATAGCTAACACAAAACTTTTGCAACTTCCCATTTTTACGTATAAAAGTTTAACCATGAGCATTCTGTGATTATATTTTTGGACGAATTTTTTACATTATCACTTTCAGTATAAAAAATTGTAAAAATATAATATAAATGTTAGGAAGATATATACGTACAGGAGGACCAATAGCATTCCCGTCAGGCCCTTTGGCTGGTTGAACAGAACAATAGAAGTGCAGGATTAGTATGAGAACGTCAAATTTCTTTATTTGAACTGTGAAGCAGCTGATATTAATCAGTCCTCAACTATATAAAATTTCTTACTTTTTTGTTTGGCATAGGCGTCGTCGGTGTTGAGTAATGGCGAGTATTTTGGTGAGATGTCGATGTGCTTGGAGAACGTTGAGGTGTAGTAGTTTATCCCGATTATGTCATAGGAACCCACTAGCTTCTCTTGCTCTTCTTCTTTGAAGTGGGGTACCCGATGCCTTGCCAACGCTCTCATGGAGAAGGGGTAGTCACCTCGAACCACTGGCTCCAAGAACCATCCTAGGCAGTTGTCCATGGACCTTTCTTGGGCCTGTTGATCGAGAAACGTATTTGTGTATGGCACACGACCAAATACATTTAACGCAAGCCCTATGCGGCCGTCCGCACCCTGCAATTGATTCATGAATAGTGAATACTGGAGTATATATATTGATATTGTATGCCTACCTACCTACTCCCTTTGTTCCAACCAAATTATAAGTCGCTTTGACTTTTTTGGTATATCCATTTAGCTATGCATCTAGATATAATAACATGTCTAGAAACATAATAAAATAAATGAACCAAAAAAATCAAAGCGACTTATAATTTGAAACGGAGGGAGTATATATTAATTTAGAAGAGTCTGTGTGTAAGAGAGAGTCTTTAATTTGTTTGTACATATGTACCTTATGATACTTATTGTAAAGATCAACAGCCTCAGCATGAGCTCGGAGAAGGTTGTGGGCAACAATGTATGGCTCGGTGAGTGAGTTTCCAGTTGGGACGGCACAAGCACAACTTAGTCCTGGTGAGCAACGCCCTGGGGCAAGGACTCCAGTTCCGTAGGAAACGGAACAAAATGTCTCCGGCTCGTTAAAGGTCAACCAGTTCTTCACCTTCTTACCGAAGTTTTTAAAGCACACTTTAGCGAAGTCTGTGTAATCTTTTCTGAAAAATTGCAAACCAGAATGATGTGGACATCAATAATTTGTTATGCTAGTGGATTGATTGACACTTTGTTGAAATAACAATAGAGCATGCATTGTTTGTGATCTGCAGGCAAATTTTTAAGTATTGGTCATTGATGTTTCTCTAATATATACTTAGATATGAACCATGAAGTTAAATCATATAAAATCATTGTCCAAAAATGTATGCAACAATAATATTTTAGTTAGTTCATATATAGTTTTTAAACATATTATTATTGTAACTGCAAATATTGATCAAATTAAACTTTAGAATAATCCCTCTCTTCTGATCGGTATTCTTTTGTTTGTGGAAGGACTGGGAGCAACTAGTAGACTAAATAAGGATAGATCAGCGCATTCATTTGAACTGCATATATACTTACATAATCCTCTCATCTAAGAAGCCGCCATACGCGTCTACCAGCGCTTGAGGCGTGTCCCAGTGGAAAAGTGTTACATATGGCTCTATGCCTGATCGAGTTGCAAAGAATACAGAATGATTATTTGTGAGAACTTTTGCACCTTGAATTACATTCTTCCTTAATTAATTAAGCTGCCAATCGAAAAATGGTGTTTTCTTTACCGTTCTCTAGCAACAAGTCGATCAACTTGTTGTAGTACTCAATGCCTTTGTTGTTAATGCCTCCATCGAGCGTTCCCTCTGAAAGCCGTAACATATTTGGATATTAGCACCCTAACAATATATCCAACAACTCTGATCGGATGCATTAGCTTGATGATGCCTTCGTTGTAGTCATTATCTTTACTGTTCGTTCCTAACTTATTCACTGCAAAAAAAAACATATTTGGATATTTTTTTATATACTTACTCGGCAGTATTCTGGGCCAGGAGATGGAGAACCTATAGGCGTCCATGCCCATTTCCTTCAGCAACCGGACATCCTCCTGCCAGCCAAATATACTGATATAAATAATGATAACGATATATATTATATTAATAGGCATATTTAGTTAGAAGTGCATATACATTAACATTTTTTTTGCCCAAAAAAGTCGATCTGCACAATACAAAATATTTATCCTTTCAAAGTCATATTTGCATTGGATAGTCTCAGCGATAAGATATACTGCATTTTAACTCCACATTCACTTTAGGAATATAGCTAGTCAATGGCATCTCAGTACTTACAGCGTACATATGGTAGGAATCCGCTGCAACATCCCCATTGCTCCTGTCCATTATCCATTCTGTTCATAGACACATTAAAGGAAAGGAAGAATTAAGGAAAGAAGGACATCATATGATGGTTATACTGAATACTACATCTTATTGTTACTACATAAAAACTGCTGATTATAAACAAAAAAATGTTGATGTATATATATGTCACCCGGAAAGTTGTGGCAGAAGTGATCCCAAGTGCTTGGCCCCTTTCCATCTTCATTCCAAGCACCTTCAATCTACGCAAACATGACATGTATATATATTTTTGTGCATATATCAAACAAATAATTAAAATACATTCACACAAAATATTTTTCTTTTATATATTAATTAGTTATCATTGTAACAGTTGACACTACTTTCCTTTCAACAAACAAAGATGTAAACATTCGTGCTAGAAATTAGTACTTGGTATGCTGAAGTGGCGGCACCGAAGAGAAAGTTAGGGGGGAACCAGTCCCTTCTAGGGATTTCCCAGGGGTGCAGCTTTTGGCTTCCAAGCTGACTGCTTATCCTTTGAGCTCGTGACCTAAGGCTAAGGTCAGACCTTCGCTTCCTACTATTTTGTGATGAAGAAGAAAGGTGCCGTGAGGAAGTCTCGTTATTGGGTCCTATATGGCTTCTAAGGCCTGGATGGGCAGTGTGATTCATGGCAGAAGCGGCAAGAAGTAGAGCCATTTCTTGCTAGCTCTGTGGCTAAAGGTTTGAGCTGCTTGAGTAGTGAGTTGCCCTTAAGATGATGCATCTATTTATAGACGAGGATGCCAAGTCAGCAAGAGGGTTGCCACTTGCCAAATAGTTCAGTACGTAGCTGAATGCATGTGTGGTGTATACTGGTGTAAACCGGAATGAGGCTTCCTGGAAGCTTAACTAATAAATAAAATATTGTGGGATCTAGCTATCATGCATATGGATCAATTAGTATTTTGAGTTAAATATATTAGAAGTTCAATAACTTGTCAGTGGGTTTCGGTTAGGTCCATAAAATCTAAGGTTGATTTTTGTCCATAAACTTTAAGTGATTCACTACAGGTCCATATCCATTTATTTAGCCCTTAGATTCAACGTCTAGGTCCATAAAGTTTTGAAGTGGTTTACCGTATGTCCATACCCCTTAAATACGACATATGACATGTGGCGTCATCAGCTAGCATGACATGAAATTTGCAATTGGCCCTTCTCCCTCCCGTCTTCTTCATTGCTCCCGTCCCTGAGCGGTAGTGTGTGCGGCATGCAAAGTGGTGACTGCATGCGGCACAAACGTAGGGGACGGTGGCACACGACGTAGGCCCGGTGGCTCAAGGGGTCTGTGCGGTGGAATCAACCGCGCACTCATTGACACAGTGATGGCCTACACAACGGGATCAACCGCGCACTGGTTTGAAGCACAAAGATGTATTGATGAAAATATATCATAACTTTAATTTATAAAATTGTGCTTTCAATTTAGCTATCTGTAATTTTTCTTTCATAGCAATCAACATATCATCATCAACGTAAAGAAACAAATAAATAGTTGAACCTTGAAGATTCTTCAAGTAAACACGCTATCATAAGCAAACCTTTTAAAGCCATGACAGACCATGAATGAGTCAAATCTCCTATACAAGTGCATAGGAGATTCCTTTAACCTAAAAACAAGGTTTTCTTTTCCATTGGAAGTAGAACCTTCAGAAGACATCATCTTTTCCTTAGTGTGCAAAGCCTTGGAAAACTTCATCAACGGTTAGAGAATCATGACTATATTAACATAGTATCCGTGTAGGAAAAAACTAGGCAAAAAGTACAGACGAATAAGACCCAAATCCTCATCATTGTTTTCTACCTCCATAGATTGTACATTAGAGACGTATTTCGTTGAAGATCAAAAGATGGTTAAACCACCCTCTTACAATATGTGCGTTTATAATTTTATCTTTAGATGCATCTTGCTTATCAAATCTTTAAATCCCCTGATGATACGGTTTCACATGTGCACCTTCCAAAAAACATTGATGAAAAATTTCCACCACCTCACGCTGCAACGAGTTATGGGTTCTGTCCTCTCGTCTCGATTCATTATTAAACATTCTGTTATCCATATCTCAGTATAGATTTACTGACCACTGAAATGCTCAGGTGGCTGCTACCACAACACTTCTCTCCAGATTGGTTGTCTTTCAACCTTGTGAAGTAAATAAGCTGAAAGCAGCGCCGGTTTAAGATGCGGCAGCGGCGCGGGATGTGGCAGCGCAGGCCCATTAGGAGGCGCTCAGGAAGGGGCTAGTGGTTCGAGCTCTGAGGAGGACGAGGCCACGGTCGCGGCAGCCACCACTACCCACGACGACACGTGCTCCCGACGTCACTACAATGTGAGACAGCCCTCCATCTCCCCTTGTGTAATTTATCTGCTTGTGTAGATACAAATATGGTTTGATCTCGTCATCTCTCGTGTGTGTTTATGGCTGGCTGCTAAGTCTAGACTCGATATCGATAAATGTTTAGTGAACGGCTAGATAAATTAATCTTTGATTTGTAAGTGTACTACTGCTACCTATTTTTCATCATCGATTTTGAACTAAATGCAGGTCAAAAAATACTTGTCTCAGATATGAATTAGTTTTCTCAGTAAACATCACCGAAGAGAGCACTAGTTTGCTGACAAAAATAATTTTGCCATTAAAAACTAGTTACCTGCTTGTCAGGCACCTTATGTAGTAATTCTTATTGTTATTTTATGTTAAATTAATAGCAAGTACTTTCTTATTGTTTCAGTTGCGGTCCGAAATTTTAGCATGTTTGGATCTGACTTATATATACTATCTCATATATTAGACTACAATCTGAATTTTTAGCAAGTCTTGATCTGAATTATACTAATCTGTATATTTAGCAAGTCATGATCTCAATAATAATCTCTCTTATAACATTCATTACCTCATGTTCTAAGATTTTCTTATAATATTTTATTTAGATCACAAGCTCTTAATATTGATGAGGGACATCAATACATCATAAGGCCCCAGGGGATGCTCCAAATTTCTAGTGAACCACTGTCTTTAGGAATTAAGACCCTGTTTGAATGAGAAGTAGAAAGCCAATAACAGTGAAGGTAAGCTCAATTGACTTCTTAGATATCTCAAATTTCTGATGCTCAACTACTGTCTTTAGTGTTGGGCTTCTAAACAATGTCACTACCTCTAAAATTTTTACTGTATATGTGCATTAGTAACTAAGATATAAGTTGATTTGTAGTAGCTGCTGCAGAGTCCTCTATGTGTTTAATTTCAGTATGTAACCTGAGTTTGCAACATGAGTCAAAACGGTTATTTGATTTTGAGAAAAATAATATATTGCAGTCTGAAAGTCTAATGCTCCAGGGATGTTAGAAGCAATCACTACATTGAGTAGTGGCACACTTCTTGGTACACCGTACACAGAGAAGTTGTAGCATGTGTCAAGACGTATACATATCGACAATCTTCATTAGCTTATATATTTGTATACATACTTGTAACGTTCACTTAGGTAGAAATCCTTAGTACCAACACATTGTGCCCTTGTGTTTATGGTCAGATTTGAATTATATATATATATATATATATATCTAGTCGAATTTAAATTGTAAATTTGAATTTTTTATAAAAAATATACTGTAGGAGCGGTTCTAGACTGAACCAGCCGCACCTATAAATCGATTTTGTAGGGACGGCTTATAACACCAGCCGCCTCACTGCCCCTACAAATCGGTGATTTGTAGCTATATTTTGGTAGGGACAGCTAGCCAAACCATCCCTACAAATACCTATGAGTGGCCCCTACAAAGTCTATCTATAGTATTGCCATTCTCTATATATATGTATGTTCCCTTCTCAACGTTCTCTAATTTGTAACGTTTAGTTGTGTCATGATTATCTTTCTTGCAATACCTACGTAATATCTCCGTTGCATATCCTTTGGATTTTTTGCCTTTGTAGCCATTATTTGATTTCATTTCTGTCCTCCCACGACTTAATGGACAAAAATTCTCCGTTGAAGTAGAACCTTAAGAAGACGTCATCTTTTTCATCTTTTCCTTAGTGTGCAAAGCCTTGGAAAACTTCATCAACTGTTAGAGAATCATGACTATATTAACATAGTATCCGTGTAGGAAAAAACTAGGCAAAAAGTACAGACGAATAAGACCCAAATCCTCATCATTTTTTTCTACCTCCATAGATTGTACATTAGAGACGTATTTCGTTGAAGATCAAAAGATGGTTAACTACAGAACCACTCTCTTACAATATGTGCGTATATAATTTTATTTTTAGATCTTGCTTATCAAATCTTTAAATCCCCTTATGATACGGTTTCACATGTGCACCTTCCAAAAAACATTGATGAAAATTTTTCACCACGGCCTTGTTTAGATACCCTCAAAATTCTAAGTTTTTTCACTCTCTCTCCATCACATCAATTTTTAGCCGTTTGCATAGAGCATTAAATGTAGATAAAAAAAACAACTAATTGCACAGTTTAGTTGAAAATCACGAGATGAATCTTTTGAACTTAGTTGATCTATGACTAGACAATATTTACTAAATAAGACGAAAGTGCTATTATTTATCGAGTTGAAATTTTTTTCATCTAAACAAGGCCCACCTCACGCTGCAACGAGTTATGGGTTCTGTCCTCTCGTCTCGATTCATGTGCACAGCTTTCTCCAGTCAACGTGACACAGCGCAGCACAGGTAAAAGATAACCTTTTTTTTTTCTTTGCGATGTGACGGCAGTTGGCTTTTGTAGGTGCGACTCGACAACTCTGCTTCATCTCCACTCGGCAGGCGACAATAGCGCAGTAGCGCACGCAGGCAGCGGATTGATCTGGATCAAGGCCGTGAGGAACGAGAACGACGACTCGGCGTCGGCGAGATACGGACGAGTCACGAGTATAGCCGGATGGACGACTTATATTTACATATTGATGAACTCGGCGGTGTGGTGTCATTCCAAATCGGAGCATTTTTTTATCGAGCCACCGAGCCAGCTCAACGAGCTTTTTGTCCAGCCGTGTCAGTGAGTGATGAAATCTTAATTTTTTTCATCTCAAATTTGACTCTACGACGAAACTGCTAATCACAAAACCTAAACCGTAGACTCTCTAAGCATCCGCACAACCACAAGATTTATTTATTTTAGAACCTATAGTCTCGCAGAATCCCTCTCAACCACGGAAGCACCTCACCATACATTCACTTCTGACCATGTATAATATACTATCCTTTTGTATTAACTTTTATGAATCCTGTATTAACTATTTGGAGATCTAAACGATGCCAAATAAAGTTTCAATTACAAAATTTTAAACCTCATCGAATATTACATGTTTAACATAGGACGTGTCTGTATATAGCCAGGGCCATTTCAAAATTCAAAATAGAAACCTTATGGGATATATTTGGGTCTCTAAACAGTCTCAAATAAAAAGTCATCAACAATAAAGTTTTACATCTAGTCAAGATCTACGACTTTGACATAAAATCAGTCTTCATCCTACTTCGAAAATATATTTTTAAAACTGTTAACACTTACTGACTTACATCCGGTAGAAATGCTATTTCTTGGAGCCGTTGGTGTTTTCGATTATCCATAAAAATAGAGACATTATTGGGTAACACTAACCACCCCCTAATAAGAACAACAAAAAATATTATTCT